AAAATGTTGAGTGTCTTACATTTCGGCGTGCCATACATTTTTTAGTTTTTACTTTTATATGCAATGCCAACACCAATGAAAACATAGACGCATACCTCCAAGGATACTGCATCTGAGCCAATCGCATTTACTATTTTTTTGCTATTTGATATATTTACAGTACTGTATCAATAGCAATACTTTAAATCCCTTCGTCAATCCACTGATAGATGAAGCCTCCCTCCCCCCCCCACGGTGCATGTCGATCGCGGGGGCTCTTTGATCATACTTGACAACGCCGCTCATCGTGGGGGAGCAGTAGCGTATTATCTGAACTGGTCCTGGGCTTCCGCGAGGTTGACTCAAAATGAGTACCTGGTGCCGTGTCGGCCTTTGTAGCCACTCGCTAACAGCGTTTTCGCCGACAGTCTGTTAAGGCTACAGGGGGAATCTTTGGCGTTGTGTAAAGCATTGCTGATTGGTTCGAGCAAACGCATGTTTTTAAATGTCCTTTATGATGTAAAAATACATTTAAAAAATATTTTATACCTACGTGACTTTACCGAAAGAACCAAAGAGTATGTAAAAATACAGTCGCATTTCTTCATGAATTTGCACCGTCAATTCACTGGAATATTTTTGTCAAGCAATCTTGAAAGTGCGATTGTTTTTGTTCGTTTCAAATGAGAATTGAAAACACCTTGATGAATTGTATCCCCTTAAATCCCCCCACGTCCGTCTACCCAGCAGTATATATGAGTACAACACAGGTAGTCGACCAGTAGGTCGCATATGGTGGGTGTAAACTGTGGGTGCTCCCACTCCTTCCTTGACTTCTGGCCAATGTGAACTAGTAGGCAGTGCCGGATGAAGCTAGTGCGGCGCCTGTAGCATATGTTATAAAGGGGCCCTAAATTACACGAAAATCACACAAATATTCAAACACAATTTTTTTAACTTGTATAGTCAAGTAATTGTATTTTTTTTATTTGCTATACAGCCAGATAATACGACAAATCGCTATCCTTAAACACCCAGCCGTTCATAAAAGTTTAAGGTGGTATAGTACTCTAGTAATAGAGCAAGTGCAGAATCACTGAACCGGAATTGATAGCTTGAAAGCGTTTAGCGCGGGGCCCTTGAAAGTGTGGGGCCCGTAGCATGTGTAGCGACTTTTGCTACGAGGATAATCGGGCACTGCTAGTAGGCCAAACTGCCCGCCATAGAGGGAATCTCTAGAGCTCCCTATCGTGGATATTCTTCTGTCAGCAGTGGCGTGAGAAAGAAATTGCACGGCTACACATTTATCTTTCCGATTTTGAATGTCTTCCAATTGTGTGTGCGGACCGGGTGGACTAAACTTGCTCTGAACAAATCACGTGCGATGTAGCCTCAGCCAGACGCCTGCATTTGGAGAGGCACCGTCATTTGCTGAACAAAAATGACAACTTCCATGTTGCCAGCTTCGTTTAAAATGGAGCCAATGTAGACCATACCTGTTGCAAAGGCTTTGAGACATTCTTGGCAGATTGCTGTGTTCCTAATCTTCAGAGATTGTAAATTAATAGCAAAAGGTTTTTGTTTAAATCACAATTACACCTTGAAGAAATATATTTTCATGGCTCGATTGTTTTTCTCTCTCAAATATATGGAAATTTGGCCCAACACAGCTGATTCCTTTGTCTTGTATTCATGGTACGTGCTTGCCAATCCTGCTGTCCAGTGCTATGAGAAGTGTTGACTCTGCTTGGAGGAATCCGATGAGCTATTTTCAAAGATGTGTGCCTATTAATGATTTCGGTATTGTAACGGGGCTTGATATGAGAGCTCGAACCAGTGCAATGTGTGTTCGATAGATTATCATTGTCTTCATTCAGTACCAGAAATTATTATCAACGCTCTTGGAACCATTTCATCTGCATGCTTTTGTTTTAAAAAAACACGTGTCACTTTTACCCTTTGTTACAGAGCATGCCATTAACAAATTAAACTAATTATATCGAAGCCTTATTTTTCCACATATAAAAAAAACGGAAATTAAAAGGACCCCAGGTCATTTAATTTCAAAAAGATTGCACGTATATGAGTGTGCATTTTATTCCCCATATAAGTCACTTAATATTCACAAACTATTAAAACAATAACACATGGTATTGCCAGTGACCCTGAGCAATACTCAATTACATGGGCCAAAGAAATAAATGCATGATAAGATTCAGTGGAAATGCTTGAGGCTCAAAGAGACAAACACTGGTATCTGAACAAGACACCCGTCAAGGCAAGGTAGTGACAACGAAACCTATAATGGTAAAAAAAGTAAATGGCTACATTACGAATTATGTTAATATATCTCCATAGGGCTCACTGGTCCATAGATTACTTAACACCAATTGTGATTCTTTTATCCATTATGCAAATCGATCCAGACATTATTTTTTCCCTCGTCTTGCATATCTTCCACTATTTACTACTACTACTTTAATGTCTCGTCGAGCTCCCCTTGATTTTCTTAGACCACGGCTCGGGGAGTCCAGCGAAATATGTTTATACTTTAACTCGAAACAATTATGAATACCACCATACAAAGCACGACTGTGGTCGAGGTTGGAATCCTGTTTTTGTCTACATGGGGCAAAGCATACAGATCGTACGTCGCTGTACAGAACTCCATGTGAAGCGTTCAGATTGACTCATTTATGATCCAGCACTCACTGGTTCACTCGATTAACGGGCAACCAGTCGCCTCCTTAACACTCTTTTACCGCTAACACCATGGTTACTGGTCCCGTGAACTTCACTTATTAATGTATCACCCATGTTGAGGACTCGGTCCACCAGACTGACTGTTGTGTCTCATCCGTACTGTGTTCAACCGCTACACTCCAGGTCACAACACTTCCACTCTGTGCTCATTCCCTCGCCCTGCTCGACTTTGGAATTCCCAACAAGCCTGCTTAAATCAAGAAACGTGTTAATTCCAATCCGTTACAACTTTTATATTGCCGTTTGTTGATGTGCCACTGGATGCTTCAGTGCACTTGGCTTCTGCAATTGTGTAAAAACAAAACGTCCATCCTTTGTATTGTTTTGTTCCTGTACTGTTGTTGAAAATCATAAGTAAATCATTGTTTGGTAAATATAACACAAGTTGTTTTGGGATCACACTGTCCCCCAGGAAGTCACACCCATAACTTCGCGACAGTTAAATTCCTGACCGTGTATTCATTATTGTCTCCTGGGTGTAAACAACAGCAAGGCATAAGCATTTTCCCTGGTTCTTTCGGTAAAGTCACGTAGAATGAGAACAAAATAATACTCATTCTACGTGACTTTACCCAAAGAACCAAGGAAGATGAATCCTTGCAGTCACGAAAGCTTTAAATCTAAGCATAAGCATTTATTTATTTTGATAAAAAAAACAATCGTAATGGCCATCTATGATGAAATAACATGAATGGTCACTAATTGACAAGGAGACAATATTGGATTGCACTTTCCTCTAATGAACGGAAATTGCAATTTTATTACGTTCGTATGTTGTAACGAGCAAGCATAGACATTTAATGATCTACCTTTATGGTCACCATATTTTTCTTTAAGGAAGGATTCATTACATGGAATTGATAAATACATGGTGATTGCTCCTGTAACTTATTAAATAAATCTTGACTTAAAGCTTTCGTGACTCCAGCAATTCATATTCTTTGGTTCTTTCGGTAAAGTCACGTAGATATAAATACAAATGGAATTTACATACAATTAAAATTATAAATAAAATTAGAAATAAAAGCAAAAAACCTACGACGTTTCAATCGCCTGATGAAGACCGCTTGTGTTGCGATCAAAACGTCGTGGGGTTTTTGCTTTTATTTTTAATTAATTTTTAATTTTATTTAATTTGTATTTTCTATCTACGTGACTTTACCGAATTAACCAAATAATATGGAACTGATACATAATTATGACCAGCTTATCAACACATACTAGAGGCATATTCACCCTGTTGCTGTATTTCACTTGCCTCATGGAGGTTGGAGCTTGTAAACTCGTTGAAAAGCCAGAAATATAAAAAGGCAAGCTTATGGAATCAAGTGCCAGATAACTCGCTTCATTTGGAAGCAATTTCTATACATTTCATAATGGTGTAAACATACAACCCTGCAATATATAATGCTAATGCCCCTTGACAGAAGAGCCTCCATGAGATGGAGCTCTTGGAGAGCCTACTCTTCCATGCTGCCCAGACATCTTCTAAATAATGGAAGTAGCCACACTTTACCCCACTGCACGTGACCTGCCGATTGCCTTGCTGTGGTGTGCCCTTTTACACTGCAGCGTGAACAGAGTAGGGAGGGATTTAAATAATCTCCCCATGGTTTCAACTGTAACGCTGGGAGATCAAACCAGAGACCTTTGGATTGCAAGTCCAGTGTGCTAACCATTATACCATGGCAGCTTCCTCTATGTATTTAATGTCGACCGCATCGCGAACTTTCAGGTGCGCTTCTGCGGCCGCCTGGAACGCTCTTCCTTCCGATATCGGAAAGCCAATGGAGCAATGCACTTTTAAATCTAGATTGAAAACTCATTTGTTCATCACCGCTTTTTGTGTTTAGTTTGTTGTCCTCCTCCTACACCTCTGATTAGCACGGTTTGATATGTACGGTGCGAAAGAAGTTCAACATATATACACATTCTGAAATGTAACACGTGTATTTTATTGCAGTTAATTACTTCATGGCTGCCAACGTACTCAACATTCATTAACTTGCCTCGTATGACAGCACATTTGTGAATAACTGAACAATCATTCAGCCAAGTTATTGGACAAATCCTGGTCTGACAATGACACAGCCCATGCTCGTAGAATCATGAAACACATCAGGTGGTCAAGCTTTATTGTTAACCAGCCTTCTGTACGTCAAGAAATGTTGGCCTCTAGACTCTTTTAAAATGCATCCTGCCTGGACGTTGTCCAGGTGCGTTGCTTGTTAACCAAGCCTGTCCGTTTGTTTCCCCAGGGGTTTGACGGAGCAGCGGGCTTGGCAGGTCCCCCTGGCCCCGCGGGAACGAAGGTATGGCAACATCAAGCTGACTTCTAACAGCGTGGAGCGTGGCGGTCCACGGGAGCTTAGAAACTGATAGGTTTAAAATATTGACTCTGGGTACGGGCAGAACATTCAGAAATAAAACATGCGGCACTTCTTATCGACCGCATTCCTGCTTGGTTTCACCTGCCCTCCCTCGGTGGTTCACCTGCCCTCTGCATCACGGCATGTGGCAGCAGTGACAAGGTAAACCAAGGAAACAGTTGTTTTTTTGCAAGCTGAAACTTTTTAACCCTGAACTTAGCCTTTTTTTTCTCACTTAAAGGAAAACACTTTCAGAGTCGACCTCGGTAAAGGAAGCAATAAGAGTTGACAAAGTCCCTTTGTTAATGGTTTAAACGGAGAATGTAAATGAATACTGTATCCTGCAATGTATTGAACAAGACAGTTCATACGTGAGTGCGATTTTTTTTCCCTTTCCACCCCTTAAAGATTAATTTCCCAAAAATTAGCGCAGCTGGTTCAGGTTCTAAGCAAATAATAAAAAAAAAATTATCGCAAGTGCGTAACTGTGAAACAATTTAATGATTGCGGAAAAAAAAATCTAATGCTGCCACATCGCGGTGACGTTGATTTTGAGAAGAAAGACTGAGATGTGAGGTCTGCAACGAGACTTGGCTTCTTGGGAATTAAAAGCTTACGTGTCACCATGCTTGTTGCTGAGCAGTTTTGTCATGTTAAATTAATGACACAGGTCACAAAGTTCAACATCAAAAGAGCCTTTTGCACGTCTATTGCAACGTAGTTGCTTAAATTCATTGTAACGCTGAAGGGGTAAACACACATACCTTGGTTTATTGCTCTTGACTGACATGAAAGACTGCTCAGAGTTCTGAAATGAACAATTGAATCCCATTCGAAAACACGGCATGGGACTTGAATTTTCTTTTTTGTAAGCGTGCTTCAAAAGTGGTACCGCCCTATGAAGTGCTCGCCGTTATACATGTTTTAGTATATGCGTCGATGTGCTCCTCTATCGTGTCTTGAAATGAACACGTGTATTCGTGGCTACATGTTTAATGTACGGGTTGCCGTGTGTGTTTTTATACTGTTATTCTAATAGTTTTTTTTTATGTATATACGGTTTGCGTGATATAATAATAATAATTCAAAGCCAATTGCCCGTTCATCACACTGGATGGTGCAGATGGGTGAAGGGGGCCCACGTCGGGTTCAGTTATCACGCGCCACCGGTGTTAACCCTGGCCGGGAAGTGAACTCGGGTGGTCACTGGCTACATAGAGCAATGGACAGACCACTGCGCCGTTTCTCCACACTGAGATGTACGCTCATTTGGATGTTTCCACTGTTATTTGTTGAGATGGCAATATCACTTACATGTAACGTGATAGCCTTTTTTTTACTATAGAATATGTACTTCGATATATCATTACATTCTCCCAACAACGGATTTAAATAACACAAAAGGAGTCTCGCTTTTTTTTTGTCCGGTGCATTTGATTGTAAGATGGATGGATTGTGTTCAGGCATGTGAGCTTTGATTAAATGATACATTTAAATTGTCGTTTGGTAATGTACCTGCTGCATTGGCATTCAGTTTTTCTCCAGATGTCACCTTTAGTCAGGTTTTGGGTTCGTGGTTAAGAACGTATTTATTTTCGTTCACTTTATTTTTTGCATCAAATACGAATTAGTATCAGTAGTTAATTTGGTCCAAATGCCCACGGATTTTGGACATCATTTGTTTACGCTGTATATTATATTCAAAAGTAGAATGTATTTTATCAATTAATTTCATGTTTTTGGCCTCATAAGCTAATCTCATAGCTAATAAATCAAAATCGCACGAATTTGTAGTTTCCGTTTGTGTACAATTGTGGTGATTTAGTGCCATTACCTGCATGTGTCCGTGTTAAAACTGCCAGTGTTTAGTACCAAATGGGTTTCTGCTTTCTATTGATCGCCATGAATAATTTAGTTGCAATTTGATTACCAAAATTGAGCCGGTCTGCTTTCTAGAATGCATCGAACTACCTAACGGTCATTAAATTAACTGCACACCACACCACCACACACACACACACACTCCACTCGGGCACAATAGAAAACTTTCGGCTGATGCATTTTTTGATTATCAAAGTGAGCCTGTTTAATTCTCCTCTCGTGTTCCTGATCAACTGACTTCCTTCTTTTCTGTTCAGGGTTCGAAAGGTACAACAGGGACCCAGGGGCCGTGGGGACTACCAGGACCTGCGGTATGTGCCTAATGTGCCCGACTAAAAGCCGGATACGTTTCCCTTTTATAAACTGCATGCCACAGTAAAGCGAATGCACAGCATTTCCCTTGCAATTCCTGAACGACGCACGTCAAAAGATAAGTCTTGCGTGGGCAAACAACTACGGAAAGTTTTGGTGTTTACCAAAAAACGAATTAGGTTACACTGTGATGATGAAGAGTGATTGATGCTAAAATAGTGTAGTGTTTATAAATTCAACAGATTGGGAATGAGTGGTTCCACATTTACATGTTTTATGAAGAAGCCAGAAACTGTGAACAAATATTAATATATTAAAGTAACTAGATATTGTGTTTCATTAGTAACACGACAATAGTTAACTTCCTTTGAAAGTCCACTCATTTTATTTGGGGAGGTTGATTGATCATACTTCACCACACTCGTCTATTCAGATATAACTTGCCACTGATGTTAGCCGTGGCCAGGAATCAAAGTATGCTTGCTGGGTATGTAGTGCAGTGCGCTAACCACTGCACCACCACTTTCTCGTTGCATTACGTACCTCGTAATAACAAATATCAATACATTTAATTTTACTCTTAAAAACAGATATTTTGTTTTAAATTTCCATAAAATATGTATCTCAAATTCATATATAGACTTTAAGAAACAATATATAAAGTACTAAAGTTGAAGCGTTATATAAGAGTACCACTTTACGATAAAAAACACACAAAATTATAACCAAAAAGGCTGCTCTTTACTACCATAGAAGTTACTATTTAAACTGAACTTTTTATTACATTTTACCAGATAAGGCCCCCTGAGCTACATAGCTCTTTTTCAAAAGTGACCTGGCCACAAATGATAGCTCAACGAAGTGGCTTATCATGCACCAATGTAGAACAGCCAAATACTCTAAACGTGTGGTTTTTTTTGATGTGGAGGGAAAAACCGGAGAACCCGGAGATGAATCCACATGGCCACGGGGAGAGAGACACGCAAACTCCAAACATATAGGCGTCAGGATCAGGATCGAACCAATGCCTTCCTGTATACCAGGCGAGGTAGTTAACATCCCACCACCGTGTCACTCAAAGTTAGTTAACATTTGTTTTTCAAAATGTTGGCTTTCAAAATATTAACTATACCATGTCGATGTTATTATTTAGGTATTGCGAATGCATCTTGCTTGTGGGAATTTTAAATGGTGCGTTATATAGAATGCATGTGTCAGGCTGCGTGGACAGTATACAAATCTGCCGGTTTTGGAAACTTACTCTGCCCCATCAGAGCGTATAAATTAGCCAAAGGCAGTTCATTTGACTGCGATTGTTACTTTTGAAATGTGAAATGGCAACACGCTCTATATAAATCACAATCCCACATTTGTGGCTTGCTGTAAAACTGTCTGTCTGCCTGCCTGGGTGTCTGCACCTCCAGGGAAGGAAGGGGGAAGCTGGGCTGACGGGGTCACCAGGTTATGGCGGTCTCCCTGGGGGTGACGGAGAAATGGTAAGCACCCAGCAAAAAAAAAAAAAATTTCGACAGGTGTTCAACACCTGAAGCTGCCGTACATGCAGTGGCATTTCCCGTCGACTGCTGAAAATACACAGGTACACTAAGGTGAAATGTTTGTTATTTCAGCACCTGGGACTATTACCAACCCCCGACTGGTTTTATAATTATCTCGAGAGTAGCAAAAAAATGCATAGCATTTGGGAACACTCAATCAGATTTCTCCTCGATCTTCAAAGGAGTTCCACACGATCCTGCTTTTGGCCCACTCTTTTTTCCCATTTACGAAACGTCAGCTCAAAACGGTTGTTGCTGTTGTCAGCGATACTTCGCATGAATGGGTAAAGGCATCCTTAATGTGCTTCCATTCCTTCCTTTCTGTGGTTGACTGTCTAGTAGTGGCCTCAAAACTAACCCACTGAAAAATCTACTTTGCTGACAGTATTATTCTTTCTGTGCCTGCCACTTTTGTTGATGAAGTCAAATTAAATTTGCAATTTGGTTCCAATAATATTCAACGGGAAACTATTTATGTAATGCCAAATACTTTTTATTTATATTTAAGTAATCTTGATTCATACCCTTGGCACGGTTTCCCTCGAAACACGTGCTTGCTGCTGTCAGGGAATCTGGCTCAGTTTCCACGTACATCTAAGTAAACGTATGCAAAGCCTTGGAAATAAATTATGCCCATGTTAGGTTCCTTTTTATAAATAAAAAAATGTCTTTCAATACCCATTCGCAATCAGCTTATCGTCTTTGCTGTCATGCCCATGCCAGACTACGAAGGATGTGATTTACACATTCACTCAGCACGGTTCTAACTGCAGCATGTACAAAATCCTTTGGCACGTGTCATGACGGGTACTGCAAGATACGACCGTGTCCGTCCGGTGCTCGCTGACCTCCATTGGCTTCAGGTTGTCGAACGAATACATTATAAGATCGCATTCATTGCACACAAAATGTTTGCCACACATGAACCACAATACTCGTCAAGGAGCATAAACCATCACACAAACTCCGGTCATTCTTGTAGCGGCTTTTAGCTAACCATCGAACAAAGATGGTCACTGCATTGTGCGCTTTCAGATGCGCTTCTGCGGCCGTCTTGAATGCTATTCCATCCGATATTAAGAAGCTACTGGAGCCACCCACTGTTAAATATAGATTGTCTTGAGAACTGCTTTTGTGTTTAGTTTATTGTCCTTTCCCCGCACCTCCGATTATCACGGAAGGCTACGTAAGGTGCGAAATAAGTTCAACATACATACATACATGAAATTAGATTTGAGCCTGGTTTCTGGATGAGGATTGGTCGGTTTATCAGTGACTTCTGCTGTAAATCAGGTGACCTGACCACTATTTTGTCAGACAGACCTACATTGGTCTAAGTTTGTTTTCCCACCAACCAATTGAGAGCTGCTTTAAAGTTTATCTGGCTCGCTTTTCCAGGTTTTAATACCAGCTTCTGAGTGCTCATTTATCCAGGAGGTTGCATATACCTGCAACAATTGGGTGTCCTTATCAAGTCTAAAAACACATTAATTAATTGCATGGAAATGTTTTGTACAGTTCTTCCTAATCACATTTCTGCCCCTTCTGGCTTAATTTTTCACTCTCCTCGTGAAAGAATTACGTTTGCTAACGCTGGTACATTTGTGACATGGCCCTGACTGTGTTGTTTGTTTCTCGTTCTGTTTGCTTTGACGGTCTTGTTTAACGGCGATGTGTACACATTATTTTTCCCTGTTGATTCTCTCTGTTGCTCTACGTGCGTTCGGTCTGCAGCAATGCACTTCACTTTTGTCACCCGTTGATCCTGGTCACCTTTGCAAATGGGACTCGTTTTCTCAGGCAGGTCCCACGAGTGGCGGAAAAGAGGAGTGGGGGAAGGGGGCAAAGACCCCTCCCCCCCATGCCCCCCTTCCCCCTCTGAGACTCATAAAATTGGTAGTATATCGTTATTTACCAAGAAAATATACATTTCGTGTCTTTTTTTGCATTAACTTAGGGTCCTGTTGAAAAACACAAATTCTTGAAATCTCAGGCCCACCTCCCATGGGAAGTTTCTAGATTCGCCTCTGGTTCTCACGTGACGAAAATGAAGTCTACCATCCTTATTTAGTTTAACCGAGGCATCGTCAATGGCGAATGCGGAATATTGGGAGTGGCTGAGTGGCTCAGGGGTCTGAGCACTGAACCGGCACTGATGAGGCCCTGGGTTCAAATTCTGGGCAGCCCGCCTGTGATTAAAACCACGTTTTCAAATGTAGCGAGTAGGTAGTCTCAGCCAGGTCACCCTAGCTTCAGACACACACAAAAACTGCCATTACATTTGACAAAATTCCAGCTCTTAGACTGACAAAATGAAAAACTTTCATTTTACTGCCAGGTGCCAAGTATCCCTGTTGCAAGCTGTATGAGAACATGCAGTGCCCAGAGTGTGGAAAATAGGTCAATTGAAGGCATTGGAGGAGTAGAATTCCGAACTGATATTATCAGTAACATAGCCATGATAGCTCAGCCAGAATATAATTAGCGAGAAAGATCAAATCTATTTGGTAAAATTAAGAGGACCCTTTTTAGGAGGTTGTGTAGTAAAGAAGCTGGTGGTAGCAATGACTTATTTTTGTTCAAATGAAATATATTTATTCATCAAGTAAACAATATTCTTTGTCGGCTAAAGGTGTGCTTTTTAGCTGAGCTTATATATAATCATTGCCTTTTAAAGTAATATATATGTGAAGGTTGTGTCGTACAATGGAAATGGAAAGATAACATACTAATATTAATTTGGAAGGTTCAAATGGCCAGATTGTGTTCATTGTCTGAGGAGCATACTGTATGTGTATCGGTTTGACAAAAAAAATATGGCTACCCGATTCAGCATTCATATATACGGTGTGTGAAAAATCCGAGCGTGTGTTTAATTTTTCATGGCACGAACAGTTCAGCGATGAGATGTGCAATATATTTTTGTAATGTTTTCTTGTTGTAAAATAATGAAGTCAAGCGAGGAGGGCAGCCATGGTAAGAAACGAAAAGAGCCACGCACTTAAATGTGTGATAAAGTACATTGTCGAAATGAGTGCAGTCAATGGCTGGAAATATGAGGCAATCAGCATCATTTATTGAAGCCTCCGCATTGGGCGCTCGTTACAGGGAGGTTTTGACATGCAGAGCGAATGCAAAACAAGAACACCAGGTGCATACCCCAAACCACACATTGGGCTCTCGCCCTGTGGTGTATTTTGTTGTTGCTGTTAGGCTTCCATGCATTGCCGAACCTTTTTCCTGCCCTTGCGGTTGAAATTGGTCACATTTCGAAGAATTCCAAAACATGCCATGACCGCAGATACGCGTATGTGTGTGTGTGCCTTCTTCCTTCCCATCCACGCCCCCCTCGCACCTCGTGACCCTCACTAAACCCTCCTTCTAAACTCAATATCGGTGGGATGGAATATTAGAATTGTAACACAACTAACCTGAAAATTCCATCGTCGCCTCTGTCAAAAGGTGTGATATTGCAAAAAGGATGATGGCATTCCAGCACATGGGGCAATTTTGAATTAATTTAAATGCCCCGTGTAGTTTATTTGGTTCTGAATGTGACGGTGAAATATGTTTTCCCCCACAGAGAACACAAGTGACGTTCATTCAATGTAGATTTAAAAAAATGTAATCCAATTATGAGTTATTACAACTCGCCTTCAAAAATATATACCAAAAAGCAGTGACTTTTCACTTAAATTCCAAGCATTTGTTTTCGAGAAAAAGCCAAAACATTGAACAGTTTTTACATGTTGAATAGAAATTTACATACGAGGGAAGCTGCCAAAATAAACGCAGTCTTCTGCACGATCGTGTGCGACGCAGGCTATGTTGTAGTCGCGTAATTTTAGAGTTTTTCAGTTTTAGTTGTAGCTCAATAATGACTTCACGATTATTATTTTTTTACACCGATTGCTGTCCGTATTATCGGATGAATAGGCTACACTTTTCTTCTTTGGTTCTTTCGGTAAAGTCACGTAGAATGAAAATAAAATAATGAAATAAAATAACACAATAAAATTTTATTGTGTTATTATATTGTGTTATTTTATTTTATTATTTTATTCTCATTCTACGTGACTTTACCGAAAGAACCAAAGAAGATGAATCCTTGCAGTCACGAAAGCTTTAAATCGAAAGGCTACACTTTGTTGTTTCAGGGTGAGAAAGGAGAGGCAGGATTGCCTGGCCACCAAGTAAGTTTTCTTCTTGTTGCCTATTCATGTATTCGACCACGTGTACGTTTTCAGGAAAACGTGTGTGTGTATGTGTTTGCTTGCGTAATAGGTGTTTGCCAAGATGCCTTGCGCCAACAGTCTAAAAGGCTTTGCAGTGCAACGTCGTCATATATCCCAACTGTCACGTATCTGCTCTGACGAATTAACCGTCCAGACCCAGCGCAGTATTTGTGCACGGTGTAAATTGTCATTATCTGCACATAAATCTGACTTTTTCTCACGCAGTAGTACATTCTTAATTCTACGTAAATGCAGGAACTATAGATCAAAATCAAAAGTTGCATGGTCAAACATTCAAAACAGTTTGCACTTTTTTTCCCCCCTGTAGCCTATTTTTAACATGGTGTAAGGATAATTATCTTTAGATTTTCACATATACGATCTTTTTACATATCTGCCTATAGTTCAGTCCCCGGCGAGTTGGGATATGTGTCGTTGCAAAAATAGCATAACGTTTATAATAAAAGAGGTAGCTCTGTGTTTATAGATCCAGCTGTACGTTAGGCAATGAGAATGCATGATAGGCAATGATAATGCATTTTAAGCAATGATAATGCATTATATGCAATGGTAATTCATGATAGGCAATGATAATGCATGCTAGGCAATGAGAATGCATGATAGGCAATGATAATACATGACATTATGGCAATAACGTTCCAGCCCAGCATTTGAGAGGGTATAAAATAAACTTGGCAGATATTTTTTTTAAATCTCAAAATATCATATCTTTTGCATAAACAGAAGAATTGCAATGTTAAAGCATGCATTATCGGTTTTATTTTATTATTTGAAAACATTAAAATTTTGTAGGAATAGTGACATTATTTTATTTTTTACAAAAGTCACAGCAGCTGCAGAGCCTTGTTTAAGAACCTCAGAAATCGAATTAATTCCGTTCTAATTAATTTTGCATTACACAACCAAAAACTCGAATGGGATGCAGCGAATATATAAACTTTGATGATTGACCAGTTATATGAAACGTAATTTGCTCAAAATAAGAATCCCTGAAATTGCTATGGATGAAAGGCACTCGAAATTGCAACTGCTCAGGGCTAGAAAGTTTGCAGAAGCTATCAGCATCAATCTCGTGCTCCTCCGGATGCCATTAGGGGAACATACAAACATCTGTCTTTTACAAGGTTTTTGTTGGTATGGCTTTAGGCAGGCATGTATCATTTTACTTAAGCAGCATCAATAATGTCTGTGTATGTCACCTGTAGCCATGAAGGTGATTTTGTCATGAAGCCATTAGGGTAACATTTGTTTAAATAGTTTTAGGACTTAAGCTATACATATCAAACAATAGAATATATATAGTGACCCAAAAGTAAGCTAACCAACATATCCTCTAAATAAATAAATAAAACAATTAATTTCATTCGTCAGTTGCGTCTGTGTGGGATAGTGTTTCCCCTTCACACGTGTGTGTGTTTTTTTTGGGTGCTCCAGTTTCCTTCCACAATAACATCTTAATATATAGAGGACCTCAGAGCATGGGCAATTGTTAGTGCCGGCTTATCGTGTGGCTGCTTCCCTGCTTGCCTGAGCTTCCTCGCGTCTGTAAGTCATTCTCTCCCCCTCCACGAGAGTGAACAAATACTGTGCACGTTACGAGTTGAAATTATATGATATTCCAAAATTAGATAATAATCCGCACCTCCGATTAGCACGGTTGGCTACGTATGGTGCGAAATAAGTACAACATACATACTGTAATGATAGTAACATTAATAATGTTGATGTAGGTACGTCAAATAGTTCTTGAAGAAATTTGCAACATTGAAATGACAGACATACTGAACATTACACAGTACAACCTGACCACGTGTTGGACGGATTTAATTTTGTGTTAAAAGCATAACAATGCAAAAGCTGTTCTCTGTAGAGATGCACTGTATCACAAAGCCGTGGCCATCATTATCCAGTCTGTTATTCGCTGCAGAACAGTGCTTTCAGACCAATAAGAGTTTGCAGCGTGTGTTTGTCATGTACATTGTGTATCAATCATTGCTGAGCCATTTCATTTCCACGAATATTTTGCATTTCTCCTCAGGGAGAGAGAGGCATCCAAGGGTCATACGGATTGTCAGGAGACAAGGTGAGGTGATTTATGTTATTATTATCTTCAGACGTGAACAATCCACTGCTGGATGAAGGCGTCCCCCCTCATCCCCATGCCATTCCAAACGGTCAAGCAACAAAGCAGGGGTTTATAATTATTTATTTTCAAATTATCATTGTATTCCTTTATTCACAAAAAAATGACTTCATACATTCCCTCAAACCCCAAAGATGTAAAAGATAACACTCAATTTTGCCTATGATGATATAAATACCTTTCATTTATTGTCTTCAACCAAATCCTTTAACGATTTATTTCCAATAGATTTTTAAATCTAATGTACCACAATTGTTATTACTTTATGTTGACCTGATGAGACGGACATTCCTCAATGAAATCCTTCCACAGGCAAACATTTGTTCAATAAGGGAACCAAAATGTTGTTTTATCTCAGCTCATTCGTGAAGGGACTGCATTAGACTCGAATAGATGCTGTCATGGTGTAATAGTTATCACATTTTTCGACTTGTACTTTCCTGGTCACGGGGTTGTAGTGCACGATCCTTAAATCCCTCCTCCTCGGTCCACCCAGCAGTTTAGAAACATTGGTTTACAGTTTTTGGCTGCTATACATTTCCACATGGTAAGCCACTTCGTTGAGCTTTCATTTGTGGCCAGGTTGGTTCTGAAGAAGAGCTATATAGCTCAGTGGACGTTACCTGGAACAGGAGGCCAAATATCCGATGGAGGGGCCCTCTAGAGCCCCCTCTTGTGGAGACCTTGCAAGGCAATTGCAGGGCTGCACCTTTGCCTTGTAATGTATTCCAAAGTAAATGGAACTGTAGAATGTGGCATGCAGTAATCCTGCCATGTTGATATAAAAAAAACCCATTGAATTGACAGTACACAAACCTTGAAACCTGCTGTTCATAAGCCTGCACTGATGATTTGTTGAATAAGCTGAGGGACTTGCGCTAGGTCGTAGGCTATTTTCCCAAACATGAAGTCAGCCAGCCAGAGGCCACCAAGTATTCTGGATTTGCTGAATTATCGTATGTTGACAACGCAAAGGTGACACTAAGCTGCAGTGCTAAACATTATCCAGTAATCCCCATATATATTGTTGTTCCCTCTAGAGCGCTAGGCCGTCATAGTTTTGTTACTCTCACTGTTGTGAAGAATAGATGGTATATTTAGTGACGTCATCGAAGGGGCTAAATTATCTAAAGTTAAAATGTAAATCTTACGCATGGCAGTGACTCATTGCCCATCCATTTGATCGATTCACACGATTCAGGTTTGCTACTCCATTCGAGAATCGATTATGTCTTGGCTCTGCTTGGGCGCTCATTTTTCTGTCTCATTTGTAAAGAACTGTTCACACTGCGAGAATAAACACTACATCAGCATATACTGGCATTTTACTTGAATACGTTTTAAGTAATGTATTCTCGTGCACACACTATAATACCTGTGTAGTGGGTTAAATTCAGGCGCACACTGGAACTTTGGAGGCAACACTATTTATTAGCTACCACCACAGGTAACACTTAGCATAACGACTTAAGGTGGTAGCTTGGCTAACCCATGTGGGTTACTACATCACTGGACCAGGACAGCCCAACACGCTGCCTGGTCCACTAGCGGAGACCGGAGAGCTTCCTCCCAGAGATGACCCAGCACAGAACAGCCCAGAAGAGCCCTCAGCTCGACGTCCACACCCCGCTTATAACCACTCCGAACCCCAACCACGTGACCCTCCCGGGGCCCCTGGCCCCCCTTTATCTGGTCACGTGTCCTGCTGGGTTCACGCAGAGTGTCACGGCCCCCCATACCGAGCCAATACGGTAGTGCCGTTCTACTACACCACACCTGCACCATGGATATCAAAATAATAATTCGTCTGAACTTATGCGTGTTTTACGTGCCTAATGAATGTAAATCAAGAATGCCCCTTAAAATTTGATTTTTTTCCCCTCGTTTTGAAACAAATTATATTCCAATTGCACTATACGAGCCATAAGAAGAACCCTGTGAATAGAGCTGCATGTAAAATGTCTTCAAAATGCCACTCTTAATCAACCCCCTACGATACTCCTTCATACTCTGTAAATCGTGTGCTGCACATCAGGAATTTGATATGCATGGCATCATGGTACAAATTTGCGAAAAATTTAAAACGACCCCCACATACTAAAATTGGGGAAAACCATGTTGCAAAATTTGCAGACAGGTGCTGCTTTTAGACAGAGGCACAGCTGCCACTGGGGGTGCCCTTGGCAAGACTGCAGCAGGGAATTGGAATGGCTGAGACAAGGTGTGATATGAGGCGCTTTGAGTTGCTTATGCATTTAAGTGCCCTATAAATAAAAATATGAATTTATACATGATGGATAGTAGAAATGTAGTGCTCAGAAAGTAGTCAGGAAAAGATCAGCACGAAGGCAAATTTAAGTTCCTTGAGTTTTTTTTTGGTGAACTGTCCGAGACAATGAAAACTCCACGCTTTAGAATCTCAAAGTAATCTCGTGCAGCTTTCTGAATTGAAATCCAGCATCTTATTGGCGCTGTGTTATTCTTCGGACATAGTCATAACTGAGCCTCCTCTACTCAGAGACATTTGAGCAAGTTGTGCCATTGTTTGATTTTGCGAGGTGGGAACACTTAATTGGTAAAAACATTAAACAATCATTTTCCCCAACTTTCTAGAAGAGTATTACTTTTCTTGGTGAGATGCGCTGTTAGAGGTGTATGCACGTTTTGCATAATTAGATTCGATTCTAAATTTGATTTCACTACTACCTTCACTACTGCTGATTTTGCATGTATTTTGCAGCAATATTTTATCGGTGACCTCAGAAGGGTTTAAATATTTACAGGTAATTCATAAATCATAGCATGCCTCGCAAACATACAGCTGTTACCTCGAAGCTTTTTTGGGCAGCCCTCTCTCTCTGCTCGTGGGGCCCAGTTTCCTTCATTTCAAAAGTCATTTGCGGGCACACGATTGCAACTTCCCTCCAAGCATCTTTTATTAATGCACATTTCATTTAAAAAAAATGTCAATGTATTTTTCTACGGATGAATCTTTTTGCTTTTAAGCTGTAGGATACATGTTTGTATTGCATTTATACAATGGTGGGCAAGATGCTGCGATCATGCAATGATTCGCAGACTAAATTTTTAGATTCAGTGGTTGCAGGTTTGGCCTCCTGGCAGGGATGTTGCAACAACGGTGCAGGATTCTTAGATTCCCCCACCCTCTCTCATTTTGTTGTCCCACTCAGCAGTATGAATGGGTAGTCCTGTAGGCTGTGTGTGGTGGGGGCAAAGCGTGGGTACTGCTACTTCTTCCAATACGTCTAGCCCACGGGTCGTCTAGCCCACGGGTCGTCTAGCCCACGGGTCGTCTAGCCCACGGGTCGTCTAGCCCACGGGTCGGCAACCCCGCGGCTTCGGAACCGAATTCGGCTCGTGAAGAGCTGCATTGCGACTCTTGAAATATGAAGTTCTTTTTTTTACCGAATTTGAAATGGAAGTCCAGTTTACCATGGGAGTCCAGTTTACCATGGGAGTTCAGTTTACCATGGGAGTCCAGTTTACCATGGGAGTTCAGTTTACCATGGGAGTCCAGTTTACCATGGGAGTCCAGTTTACCATGGGAATGCAGTTTATCATGGAAGTCCAGTTCACCACCAATTTACCACGGAAGTCCAGTTTACCATGGAAGTCCAGTTTACCACGAAAATCCAGTTCACCATGGGAGTCCAATTTACCACAGAAGTCCAGTTAACCATGTGAGTCCAGTTTACCATGGGCAGGGACCGACAACCTGTGGCTCTGGAGCCGCATGCGGCTCTTTAAGGACTGCTTCGTGACGTTGCTTATTGAGGATGACCGTCTCGTATTCACATGGCATTGCGGCTCTTGAAATATAGATTTTTTTTTCCACCAAATATGAAAAAAAATTGGCTCTCGTTATTTTGGTTGCCGACCCCTGGTCTCGCCAGTGTCGACAAATAGGCCGTAGAACCTCCAGACAAGCTCTAGAGCTCCCCTTAAGTGCCAACAGTGGTGTAAGCAAATAATTGCAGTGCTGCACCCTTACCTTTGATATAATGTCAGTTTCATATTATTTATTAAAACATTGCTTCAAATAATGAATTCCACAAAAATAGGTATCCTTGTTTTACGGACGTTTTTTTTAAAAAAAATGTATAAGTGTTTATTATTAGGAAGCCACTGGAGCCATTCACTTGTAAATCTTGCTTGAAATATAATTTCTTTAGAACTGCTTTTTGTTTCCAGTTGTACTTGCGCCACACTTCCCGATTAGCACGGTTGGCTACGTGCGGCGCGAAAGACGTTCGACATTCATACATACAAAAACGTAATATACCGCAGAAACAACAACAAGCATTTTTATACCTAAGGAAATCGAAGGAACATTGAACCGATGCTCAGATTCATGGACGAATATCTTTTCTTCAGCTTACAATACCTGCATCACATTGCATGCCTAAGAATCGATGTTTTTTTGTTCAAGATATTACGTAACGAATTGATACTTGAGTTGCAACCCCGCATCATGAAAATTAATTCTATTGTGACTGAAGCAAATTATTATAGTGCTGCTATAAACGCCTCACATTGATTTCACAACTGATGCATACAGGAAAATAAGTGTGTTTTTGTGTGAGGAATTCATGAAGTGCATGTATACGCACCTACGTTTTTTTCTGTTTTTGAAGGTAATCATTTAATTATCCTCACATGTTTGTTTTTAAAACTGTTAATCCAAATTTAGTTGCTGGCATCTCTGCAAAGCCATGTTGACTATGTTGTTCTTGTAAAACATTTTTTTTAAATATCTCAATGGACCCTTTTCATGCTCAAATAAATCTGAGATTTCATTGATTTTTTTTGTTTAAGGCTGCATTTGTTTTCCCAGGGAGACAGTGGACCTACAGGAGCCAAGGGAGAGGTGAGAAATGTGGGCATTAATGCCAATACGAGGTGGTGCTCTTGTGCCAAGTTTCGTGGATGCCTGTGTCAAAAGCCATCAAGGGCAGTCAAACTGGAAGATATGCTCTTCCCATTTAATACTTGTAGGCACGCATATACCTACATGCATGTGTGTATGAAACACTGTTTATTATTTAATAGAAGAAAAATTGTAGGACATCTGTATTATGCAAGATTTGGCTCAGAGGCTCAGGGTCACGTGGCGAAAAGGTTCAGAACCATGAGCTGAGAGGCGGGGTTTGAATCCAGGCAGGCAGCTTTAGCATTGCCTAACATGGGGGGGGGATATGTGGGGGTGGGGGGGAAGGGGGGTTACACTGTCCCCATGGAGTTGCGAATGGAATATTCATGCCATCGCAAGACATCGATAACGCAGTAAGGGTACAAATGGGTGTAAACTACAACAAATGCAGTTCTAAAGAAACATGATGATTGCTCCTGTAACTTATTGCATAAATCTTAACTTAAAGCTTTCGTAACTGCAGGAATTCATACTTTTTGGGTCTTTCGGTAAAGTCACGTAGATATAAGAAAAATAATGAATAAATAAAAACCACGACGTTTCGATCGCAACACAAGCAATCGTTTTCAGGTGAAAAAATACAGCAGGCAGACTGCTGAGGCAGGAAGAAATATAGCGAGAGAGCTGCTGCAGCCAAAGGTTATATAGGTTTGAGATGGGGACAACCCAAGGGTAAGTGGGCGGGGCTAGAGATGGAATTTGCAAGTAAATGTAAGATCGCAGAGCTAGGTATACCTCGGGCTATTGTGTTGCTAGAGATTAGCATGTCAACGTGTTAATGTAACCCCACGGCTACGGTGCTGAAGAAGCCATTGTATGGCTAGAGATTAGCATGCCAATGTGTTAATGTAACCCCATGGCTACGGTGCTGAAGAAGTCATTGTATGGCTAGAGATTAGCATGTCAATGTGTTAATGTAACCCCACGGTTACGGTGCTGAAGAAGTCATTGTATGGCTAGAGATTAGCATGTCAATGTGTTAATGTAACCCCACGGCTACGGTGCTGAAGAAGCCATTGTATGGCTAGAGATTAGCATGTCAATGTGTTAATGTAACCCCACGGTTACGGTGCTGAAGAAGTCATTGTATGGCTAGAGATTAGCATGTCAATGTGTTAATGTAACCCCACGGCTACGGTGCTGAAGAAGCCATTGTATGGCTAGAGATTAGCATGTCAATGTGTTAATGTAACCCCACGGTTACGGTGCTGAAGAAGTCATTGTATGGCTAGAGATTAGCATGTCAATGTGTTAATGTAACCCCACGGCTACGGTGCTGAAGAAGCCACTATATTGCTCGAGATTAGAGATTAGCATGTCAATGTGAGACGTTTCCCGCAGCAGCGGCTGTGTTAATGAGAGACAGTCAGCCTATTAAACAACGAGAGCCACCGCCACATCGAGTAAAAGGGAGCAGCAGCTATGTTAGTGAGACATTTAGCCTGTTAATGTAAAGACATTTAACAAGGTAATGTAACTCACAGAGTCGGAAAAAAACTGCTAACATAGGCAGGTAGGATGGAAGCATCACAGCCAGTTATGACTTTACCTCGTTAATAACGTCCTTTCAATTATTGCTCAGTTTGTACCCATCTCCTCGGTTGGAACTGTGTCTGTGTTTATATATCTGGATGGCTTCATGAACAAATCTTTGTTGATCGCCAGTGGGTTTTCATAGTACCTTCGTCTTGGAGTAATACATTTCATGTGTGCCTACAGCGTTAAAACAATGATCAGCCACAGCAGAGGTGTTCGCGAACACGGTCTGAGACATGCGCTTAGTTTCCCCAATGTAACTACTGCCGCAGGCACAGCTTAGTTTGTAGACACCGGGGTATTGCATGTCAGGGATCACATCATTCACAGATTGGATCAGATCACGAATTGTATGTACTGTGTTCAATCGGACCTGTATCTTGTATTTGCTCATGATTTTGGAAATATGTTTGGTGACCCCTGCTATGTGTGGCAAGGTGATGGCTTTGATTGGGTCCTCAGGTGGTTCTCACAACGGTTGGGGTGACAGCTTTACGGATTGTGCAATCCGAATATCCATTCATCTTGAGGGCTTGGTGTACGTGCTCCAGTTCACTGGCTAGGTGGTGATGGTCGGAAATGCAACGAGCCCTATGATGTAGAGATTTGATGAGGGAATTCTACTGAGCTGGATGGTGGTGGGAGTTAGGTTTTAGGTAGGCATCCGTGTGGGTGGCTTTCCTGTAGAGAGTGTCCCAATGAGCCATCTGGTCTCTTTTCGATTAAAACATCCAATAATGGTAACTTGCCATCCTTTTCCACCTCCATGGTGAATTTGCAGGCTGGGTGTATGGAATTGATGTGGTTGAAGAATTTGTTCAGAGCTCGCAGGCCATGTGGCCAGATGACGAACGTGTCATCTACGTATCTCTTCCACAAGGAAGGACTTAGGGTGGATGTCTGGATGGCATCTGTCTCAAAATTTTCCATGAAAACATTAACTACCACTGACAATAAGGGAGAACCCATTGGGGTACCTTCAACTTGTTTGTAGAATGTTCCATTCCAGGTGAAGTAAATGTTGGTGAGGCAGTGTCTCACCAGGGCCGGTACATCCGCATTCAGTCCTTGTTGGACCAAATCTTCAATGATTGCAATGGTATCAGGCACAGGAACTTTGGTAAACAAAGAAAATACATCGAAGCTGACAAGCAAATCACCTGGAGATCGTGAGATGTATTTAATTAGAGATACCAAGTGAGCTGAATTAAGTACAGCTGAGGTGGTCTTGCCAGTGAATGGCAGCAAGGTCTCAGACAGAAATCGGGCAGTTTGTAGGTGAGTGAGTCAATGGTGGAGACGATAGGATGGAGTGGTGTACCATCTTTATGGATTTTGGTAAGCCATAAAATCTTGGTGGTCTAGCAGCAGAGGGTTTTCGAGAGAGCCGCTTGGTTGGTTCGATAAAGATGTCGAATCAGTGATGATATTGTTGTTTTTTGTAACCAGGCGGTTGGTAGGATCTCTATTGATTTTAAAGAAAGTATCCTTCAACATAAATCCACGTTTTACGTCACAGTACATTTTATGTTGGCAGTATGAATTATCGCAATAAAGAATCTGAAGTGTTTGGCCAACTTGTGTGTGTAGATCAGCATTTACAAATAGTCAATATACTGTGCATGGTTCGGACCACTTATTTACTTTGTATAATCTCCATCAATTTAGTTTCGTGAAATGACATATTTTTACGATAAATGTTTATGCCATCACGAAATGCACACTAACAGTTTTGTACACTGCATTAGCACATCAATCATCAATCCATCAAAAGCTCCTCACATTTATCAATGAACACTGCTTCACAAGAGAAATACATCATATGACAGGGCTGATGTTTCAGACAACGGGGGCCCCTCTCTTTGGGCAAATGTGTCCACGTCTAGTGTTCCTCTGGTCAAAGCGAAAACATACTCAAGTAAATCATAATGAAGTTTTTTTTGGGTTTGATCACGTAAATATAAATGTGTTGTTAAACCCCCTTACCACTCGACATAGCCAACTAGTAAGGTTTGTCACGTAAACCAAACATTCCAATTGGTTCATTCTAAATTTGAAGTGTTCGTGACTGCAAGGATCCATGTTCTTTGGTTCTTTCGGTAAAGTTACGTAGGTGAAAATAATAATAAAATAAAAAACACGTAAAAAATAAATTAAATCACGACGTTTCGATTGCAACACAAGCAATCATTATCAGGTGTGACAACCACAGCAAGAACATTTTTTTTATTTTATAATTTTTTTCACCTACATGACTTTACCGAAGTAACGAATTGGCAGATTTTTTTTACGTGACAAACAAAACTACATTTATATTATATTCTTGGTTCTTTCGGTAAAGTCACGTAAAAGGGAAACAATCCCGTCTACGTGACTTTACCGAAAGAACCAAGAATGGATAATATTCGTCGCAAAAGCCTACTACGTGTTAAACATACTAGCCCATTATGTGTTCAGCTTGGTAAAGTATGGTAAAATGATCAGAATCAAAAAATATGTATTTATACTGGAGAAGTCTGATGAGCTATGAAGCTCTTTTTTACAGACATCCAGGAGGGATGGGTTAGAGCGTTACAACAGCAAATAAAAAAAACACGATAGAAGTGCAAAGTATAGGAAAGTAAACAAATCAGTTAAAATATACAAATAAAAATAAACTATTTTTTTAATATTACCAGGTAAAGCCTATTAGGTTAGTTTTCAGAAGCGACCTTGCCACAAATAATAGCTCAACAAAGTGGCCTATCGTGTGGAAATGCAAAGCAGCAAAATAATCTCAACGCATGTTTCTAAATGTGGAGGGAAAAACTGGAGGAGCCGGAGGAAACTAAAATATCCACGGGACCACAGAGAGAACACGCAAACTCCAAATATGCACGCGTCAGGATCGGGATGGGGATCGAATCCCCGGCCTCCTGCATACCAGGCGACGAAGATAACATCACACCACTGTGGCGCCCCTTAAATAATCATGAAAAGAAAACCCTTGGTGCCTTACACAGCCTTCTTCCAGCACCGGATTGACACACAGGCTGTACAGAGCACGAGGCAGTGTTAATGACCAACGTGGCGACCTTTGTATCCCCCTTGTTCTCGCCTGCACCACTGCCAAGGGCCGGTCTCGCGCATGATTGTGTTTCTCGGCTGTCATTTTGCTTGGGACAGCAGCATCACACTGCCGCCTAGTGGAGGAAGCGTGTCAGTGGGAATAACGCCCCAAGTTGTGCCGTGCAGCCGTTGTTCGTTGGCTTCATCTTAGCCCCACATCTACCGGGGGATTGGTTCCATTTGAGCATGCCTCATTGCTTCACCCTCTCGGCGACGGTTCTATTTTTAGATACATTTTTAATTACGTTTTATAATTACATCCGCAGTCCCAACCAAAGAAAAACGTAATTGGT